AAAAAAAAAAAAAAAAGAACCCGAAGGTCAAGGACAAGGACAAGGACAAGGATTAGCTTTGGGTGAGCAGAGGAAGAAGTTGAGAAACTGGCTAGAGGCAGTTGTACTCTGAATTTGGAGGCTTCTCTGAGCTGCTTGTACATCTGGTGGAGCCTTTCTCAGCCAAGGGGCCTCTCTTTTTTCCATCTGACCACCATCCCTCCCTTACTCTGCCCTCTGCTCTCTTTTCTCTCAGCTTCTACCCTTGTATAGTGTAGCTTGCTGCCAGGGCTCAGCCACCTACAGAATCATGGATTTGCCAGGTTGGGCACCATCACTCTCCGTCTTTAAGGACCTGCGCCTGGCTAGCCTGGCTCCTCTGCCAGCAGGCAGGCTGTCCCCCCGCTGGAGGCTAGTGCCTTCCTCCTTGCCAACCCCTACACTGATTCCTCACCTGCCCTCAGGCTCTGCTCAGACCCCAAATGAGCAGAAGCTGATTGGAAATGCTTTCAAAGCACTCCCCTTGAGCTCACCCTTGGCTTCTCTCTGTAAGATCTCTCAGGAAATGTGCTCTGCTGGGGCTATTGAATCCCAAAGTGGGATTTCACTGCAAACCAGAAGTTTTGGAAGGCTAAGGAGGGGAGATATTCTAGGCCAGCAGGTACTGAGGCAAATCATGTCAGCTGAGTTCACAGTGCTGGGTGACAGTGCTGGGTGCCAAGTGCTGGGTGACAGATTTTGAAGATCATTTCAGAGGCACCCTCTTAGCAAATGGACATCATGTCTCCATTAAGAGAGAAGGTAAAAGGTCTGAAGTCAGGATCCTCTGAAAAAGGGAGATTGGGATCTAGGGCCCCATCAGCCTTCTGGTTATATAACCAGCTGAGATTTAATAGCAAATCTGTCAGAGTGAGAGTAAATCCTTCCCATTCTCACTCCTAGAAGTTCTCTGGAGTTTTTCCATCTTTGAATTTGATGCAGCTTTTCTGGCTCTCTGATTTATTCTTTGCAGCCTAGCAAAGACACAGTATCTAAAAAAACACACACCATGAAATGTGTGGAAAGTTCATAGCCAAGCTGTCTGCATTTGATTGTGTTTGCATGCCTATAAGGGTAGGAGTTTTGATTCTGTTCTTAAGTAAACTCATGAAACCTTATTTACATCTGAGATTTTGGAGGATCACTGCACCTCCTTCTGTAAGCAACGCCAAAGGTGGATATGAGCACCATGGCCACTAAGAAAGGCTCCATGAATCTTACACCTGGAGAAAGCTAGTTAAAGTAGTGTGGTTTGGCCAATCAGGAAAGCTGAGTGAGGTTTGCCAAAAACCAGACCAGACCATATCAGCCAAAGCAGCCTTCTGAAATGCCACATTTGGAGATAAGTATTAGGAACTGAACACCTGGCTCAGGATATACAATTAAAGTCTCAGGCTAGGCTAGAAATTTCTATTTGGATTTAAAACATGTAATCAGCTAACAAAATTACTCTGCATTAAAACGGAGAATGCTAGGGAGAGCAGAACATTTTCATCTGGCATTTTCTTTACTGATAACACTTTCAGTATAGTATATTGGTATTACTGCTTCTCATTTCACAGATTTGTGAGCTCTAAGAGACACCAGAAACCATTGTTAAAGCACCATCTTCAAACTTTCCCAACTCATCAGTTCTCACAATTGAAATACAAGCCCTCTCTTTATTATTACTATAACATTCTCACTTTTAGATTCTGTCACTCTAACTCAGTCTGCTTTCTTTGGCCAGATTCTGGTCTTTTAAGTACAACTTTAATTAATTAATTAATTAATTAAATTTTATTTTTAATTTTATTAACTATATCTTTGTTGATTTCAGAGAGAGGAAAGGAGAGGGAGAGAGAGAGATAGAAACATCAATGATGAGAGAGTCATTGATCGAGCCCGCAACCCGGGCATGTGCCCTGACTAGGAATCGAACCCCGATCGTCTGGATCCTAGGTCGACGCTCAACCGCTGAGCCACGCCTGGCCGGGCACAACTTTAATTTAGTACCATTTTGTATCACTTTACTTTCCTACTCAAAGATGGAGAACAACAGCTCCATGTTCTCTCTAAAGTTAACTAAAAAGTTCTCAGGGGACTATACAGTTTGCTTCTAACCTAATTTTACAGTTCTCATCTGGTTTCCTAAAATGTGACCAAAATAAATTACATGTTTTTATAGAACTTGAGTGAAATGTTGCCACTTCTTGGTATTACTGCTTCCTGCACCTGGACTGCTTTCCCCCAACCACCAGTCTGTCCAAACTCTGCCCATCTCCCAGTGACATCCCCACTTCGATGAAACTTTGCCTTGATCCCTTGAATGGGGAGCTTCTGCTTTCCTTTGAGCATCCACAGCACTTCATGTCTTGTGGTATTTATCACGCATGCCATACTTTACAATCATTTATGAACTCCTCTATATAAGCATACCTCAGAGACATTGCAGGTTCAGTTCCAGACCACCGCAATAAAGAAGGGGTGGCAATAAAGTCAGTCATACTCTTTCTGCTGGTGGAGGGTCTTGCCTTCAATTTGTAAAAAACAATCTGTGAAGTGTAAGAAAGTGAAGTGGAATAAAATGAGGTATGCCTATAATTCTAGATTCTGAGCTCTTGAAGGCAGAGTAATGCTATGTCTTACTCTTCTTTGTATTTCCCATGGTGCCTAGCCGAGCACCTTGAGCCAGGTGGATATTTGTGCTTATTGAGTTAATATTGTAGTTCCCTGTAGTTCAGGTGGTGGACCATTGGAAAGAAAAGGAGCTGAGAGAAACACATGCCCAGAGATTATGGCTTACTGGCTGTAGAAGTTGCATTTAAATCCATGAACACCCTCTGTTGAAGCAATAACCTTCTCTGTTGGGGGCTGTAAGATGAGAGACCGACTGCAGCCACAAGCTGGAGTTTGCATTTATTATTTTTGTTGGCCACTTTGCTACGGCCCCTTCCAAAGAGGTTGAATGGTTACCTTAGTAAACGCAAATGTGTGCTACATCAATTACCCTTTCAGAAAACACAACTAAAACGTGTAATTGAAAGTGAAGACTGAGTTTAAACAGAAGAAGGTTTACTTTTGCCAGGCTATAGCATAGTGTGGAATTGTAGCCGCCAAGTTCTGATTAATACTCAGATTTAAAGATTCACTTCCCCAAAAGCAGTGTGAATAATAACCTCTCCTGAGTTCCAGTTCATAGGGAGTTTCTGAGGACAGCTCCTTGCTTCTCCATTGTGTGAGCTCATG